GATTTGTGTGCCACTCCCTCTTGTCCCATTGTTAGTGGGACGGAGGGAGTATAATATATTTATGAGCAGTATATAATAATATTATATAGGCAGTAATTATTATGGAGTGTTTGGGATGAAAACAAGGTTCCAAGTATACATCTCTTCTCTAAATTAATTGTGATTTAAGTTATTCAATTAATTGTTATTATTATATGTCCGTATTTTTAGGAATAGTATTTATTATGCATGTGTAGCAGATCGAGCATATCATATGCGGGAAAATAGGAGAAAGAATCTCCATATTTATTGATTAGAGGGCATCCGTGGAATAGAAATTAGGAAAAATATTTAATGAACTACTGTGCATGGTATTAAAGCATCAGTATAGGGGAAAACATGACTTAGTCATATATTGGGAAGTGAATGATGTTTTAGTCCCATAGGGGATAATTTTCTCGGGAAAAAAATCACCTACAATTTACAATGTGTTAAAGCTATTTAATCCATTAAAGTTTGATTTCAACTTTCAAGTATTACCATTTACCAACATTCCAAAAAAAATCATGTTTCAAACACTTCTCTTGTCACATAAATAGTCTCACTGCTAGATAGGGTGGGGAAGGGACTAAACTAACCAAATGCAATGACTGATAACACAAAATCAACAAAGAGACCCACTGCCCAAACCTTAAGAAGTTCAGATGCACGAAATCCACCCAACCATAGAAAACATCTTTCTGCAGGAGTTGTCCACATGCCTGACAAAATATGAAAGACATCAGCTTTGGCGGCATCTCCTTTTGTCCTGAAAATGTCATCATAGTGTGCCAAGATGCTATCAACAATGATGCGTAGTTCAACATCACCCGCATGGGCATTAATAGCTCCTCTTAGCTCACTTATTCGTCGGTTTTGTTCTTCTAGCCAGCGAGCATAGTCTACATCAAATGCCAAGGATCCTACCCGGCAGTTTAAAAACCAGTAAAAAGATAAGGATCATACATATGAGATACAATGAAGCATAACAAAGAGAATCTAATAAATACTCCATCCCAAAAGAAGAGGCTATGTTTCAAATAACAAAACTCTCTCAAAAAAATGAGCTAACTTTTCATGCAGCTTCTTAAAAATACTTCCTCCTTGAAAATGATACAGAACATGGGAATGCTTACAATTCAAGCTGGTGTAACACTAAGCAAAATGTGAAGTGTGACTATCAGCTTGAGTCTAAACTCTCATAATAGAAAAAGTTGCATGCACACGTGATGGGACATGACTATAGCAACTACTCAACTCATAGCTATCTCATGATATTTATTATTTAGCACGAAAGCAAAAAATATATCATCATCATTATCATTACCCCAGTGCCGCAAAGGCTCCCACTTATGGTGGGGTAAGGGGTGGTCGGATGTAGGATGTACCACTGAGAGACAGTTTTCGGATGACCCATAGTGAAAACGCATCCAAAATTGCATGGACTGGCTGCTACTTCATAACAATGAAGTGCGGACAGTTTAGTGAACTATTTTTCTTTATTCCATCATATTCTCAAGCCAAAATATATATAAATATATATCATGATAATGGTTTTGAAATTTCATCTCATTATTTCTTCTTTAGAAGGTTGCCATAGGAGGGACATGAATATATAGCAAGAGGAATTTTGATTTTTGAAATTTCATCTCATTATTTCTTCTTTAGAAGGTTGCCACAGACCCCAATGATAATGATGTATCAAAATGGCGAGCAACTGAAAATGCCTCGAATTTCGTACAGACCGATAAAATAACAATTACAGGTTTACTTACAAGTTACGACTTACAAGGGAAACATATCAAGTAATTGACAATGCAAAATGTTGGGTGGCAGTGGCGTGGCATTCCAAACACATTTTACTGTAGAATGGAGAAAGGTTAGTAGATTTATTTCCTAATATCCACATCCAAATATGACACTCTATGGTGATCCTGGATTGGAAGTCTTGGACTCACTAATGCTACACTGCTACCTGCCTAGCTCAACCCCAAATCAGCTGCGGTCTAAGGCTATAGGCATCAAACTTGGTTTAGTTGATGATAAAAGGTCAATCCATTGTTTTGCACTATGAATCTATGCCCGGAACCCCAAAGAACTAGAGCATCTTGATTCAAAAATTAATACTCCCTCCGTATTGAAATGCTTGCTACACTTTCTTTTTTGGGATGTATTTTAATTTTTGCTACATTTTCCCTTTTTGGTAAGTTTTCCCTTTAAAAAAATACTCAATTACCCTTACTATTTATCTTCTCTCTCATACTTTTCCACCCTCTTTCCTACCTTTTCTAGGTATTCATTACCCCTACTACTTCTCCCTTGTAGCAAACATTTCAATACGGAGGGAGTGTATAAGTTCAAACAACTGCAGCAATGAGATCGGAATATCTTAAAAACTTTTTAATCAACAACAAGAACATCCAAGCCTAGTCCCGAAAGAGTTTGGGGTTAGCTAACATGAACCTTATTTTTTAAATCTTATTTTTTATTTTTATCTTATCATTTTTACCTTTATCTTATCTTTTTTATCTTTATATTATCTTTTTTATCTTGTTTATCTTATCTTTTTAATAATGATATTAATTTTAAAAGATTGATAAAATGATTACAAGTGAGATTAAACTTATGGCAGGGAGTAATTAAAATACAGAAACAAATCCCCAAAGAGCCTCCACTGGAGGCGAGATTGCTTGATACATATAGGGATTTTTAGCCGCACTTGAGATGAGCAATGGAGGCCTTTAAAATTCCCTTTGGTATAGAATTGTGTCAGCTTTTAACAATTTACTCTAAAATTGTTAACGCGTTGAGAACCATCACTACAACAACCCTTCATTGACTAACAAATTTGTAGCTAAGACAAGTAACATAGAACGGGGTGGGGCCGTGGGGGCATCACCTGGCACTATTATCCAATACTTAATGTATCAGATAAAAATAATTTTAATTAGTGATCAATTAATATAGAGTTGAAAAAAGGAGGAAAACGGAAGTGTATAAATGCATACCATTTCCACTCATAGATTGTGTTTTGTCTCCTGAACTTGAAACCACAGTTCCCTTCAACCAAAAAAAGTGGGGAAAATATTATAAAATAATACAAAACAAAATTTGCTTCTTAGTTCTTAAACATGTATAGTTATGGAGAATTTCATTGTTTAGCTGAAAACCATTGAATACCTCAATACCCTAACCTAGTAGGGTACAGAAATGGGTTAAATCCATAAAGAACTTTCTTTTAACATATGCACTTTGGAATAAGTTGAAGATAAAAAAGAGAAAGTCAAGAAATAGGTGGTCAAACAAAACCTGTTGTCGAGTCCGTTGCAGTTCCTGTTCAAGTTGTGCCAATTTCACTCTGCTGCTCTCCAACTGCTGGACGTACGCCTATGCAAAAGAAAAAGCAATTAGAAAGAACTAATAAGAGACAAGTAATCATCATATAACCAAACACAGCATAAGCCAAAACATCAAGTACACATACGAGACTCTTAAGTTGCCCTGCCCTTCCTTTCCCCCATAATGATTCAATGAAGCATAAAAATCATGAAAGAAATTAAAGATAAATCTAGTTTTAGCACCAGACAAAATAATATTCCAGTACTCCACTATTGTTACTTAGAGCCCTCCATCGACTTTTAAACTTAGCCTGTTGGAAGGCCATTTCTGTCGACTTTTAAATTGTTGACAATCTATAATCAGATTGAGTACTAAATACTAATGATACCCTTACACGAAAATCCATTTAAACTACTTATAACAACCAAAAAAAGGTTTTTTTTGTTTATTAATGCCTATTTTGTTTATCTGTATATGCATTTCTATGCTCATCTTTATATGCATGTTTAAGTAAGAATGTCATTATTGTGCAGTCAAATTGAAATGTCTAAACTATTTGTGAATAAAAGGAAATAAAGCAATAAATATCACACAGGAGAGATCAACCTACTTTTTTCCTTAAACGGCTCTTTCGTGCAGCCTCGCGATTTTGAGCAAGCCTACGAAGTGTCTGCACATAAAATGAGAATTTTAGAACCTTGTGATCAATTTAAAATCACTTGATAATTATATCAACATAAAAAAAATTTGTAACCTTGTGATCTCTTGTTTTATCATTGCCATCCGAAGCAGCCATTCCACTGTATTGAAACTGCAATCAGCCATAACAAGTTGCCCAAAGTTATTTGCTGAAGAATAACACAAATGCTTCTGGACAAACAAGTAGCGGAAATGCAAATATTTCAAGCCACTTTATTTCATATATACTTCCAAAGTCTTTGAATTAATAAACTATGATCATGGAGCAGAAATGGTAAAATTCGAGACTTTTGCTGCTTAGTCCTCTATAAAGAAACACATCAAACTCGGGTAAGATATAAATGTGCATTAATGTCACAAAGTAATGAAATATCATGAACACATAGTTTAGTAGTTCCAACTCAAAGAAGATCTGTGAAGAAGATTTGATGTACCCTGTAGTTTTTATCTTCAGTATCTGCATCCGTTGACGTGTCAGTCCTAGGACTGGCGACTTCAATTTCCATTTCGGACAAGGGACTTGCTTATCTGCCGCTCTTCAGAACTTCAGAAGCGAATACAAATCATATTACAAGACCATTGGACAATTGGAAGATGCTAATTCTATGAAGCACGGGAAGTCTGATGCCTGGAGTGACGGACACTCAATACGACACTCCACGTGGCGTATGGTTGATTGGATACGAGGTCGGAAGGTGCGGGGCTCGGAGTGGAGCTTATTCTGGCAGGGTCGAGAAGCAGAGCAGGCTGAGAGTGGGGACTGGGGTTGTGGAGAAGGATGGAGGCGACCAAGCGGAAGCTCCACCACTCGAATGATTTGAGATCTCTTCGATTAGGTTCCACCGGATTTCTTGTGTTCCTTCATTTCTTTCACGCAAAAAATGATTCTTTTTCACGGAATATTTCATCTATCATCAAGAACTCATGACATCTGGTCCACCCTACTGAAATCTGGTCTACTCAATTAATACAAAAAAAATAGGGAAAGTTCCCGAAATAGGATTAAAAAAGTTTGAAAATTCCAAAATAGGACTGTCATGTTTTTATTCCCAAAATAAGAGTAATTACTGCCAAGTTTGGAAAATACTGTCATGTTTGAAGTCTGATACTGCCAAAACATGGCAGTAATTAGTCTTATTTTGGTAATAAAAACATGACAGTCTTATTTTGGAATTTTCAAACTCTTTTAGTCCTATTTCGGGTAATATCTCAAAAAAATACTCCGTAGCATAGCACTATATCAGTGTATTCATCAGTCAATATTTGTCATTGCAAATAATACTCCGTACGAAGTAAGGATGTTTTTACTTTAAACTACTTCCTTTTTAACAAGCGCAAAGTAATAGAGTAAAAATTGTATGGTTTAAGTTTGTGCAGGGAAGAGTGAATTAACTGAAACCACAAATTCTTTACTTACAATGGAAAGTGGCAAAGTTAATGGGACATTCAAAAACGGAAAGTTGGAAAAGTTATAAGGGATGGAGGGAGTATAATTTACCGATCTGGTGTTGTCTGTTTAAGTCTTCTCTGGTCTGAATTGTTTAAGTTTGGTTTTATCTGAACGGGTCTGGTCTAATAAACGTATGGTCTCTGTGTATTTTATAACTACGGAAATCAAGTATGGTCTGGTTTGGTCTGATCTAGTATGTTTAAGTCTGGTCGAGTCTGTTTAAGTTTGATATGGTCTGATCTGGAACTGAAAACTGACCAAGTAAAAACATCTTAAATCTTGTTATAAGAATATTACTCATTTACTTGTAGTAGAAAAGTTTGTATTAAACATGCAACATAATTAAATATTCATAATATGACAACTGTTACAAAAATATTACTCGTGCTATATATTCATTTTTTATCATCAAAACAATCGTTTATATTAATATCATTAGAAATTGGATCGTTGCAACAATCTCAAAAAAGCCAACACTGACAACAACTATTCCTAACCAACAAGCATTATCAACCCTGCGGCTAGACTTTGAGACGATCACCCCTGTAAGAGCAATACGAATCGCTAACCACCAAGCGGGTGTGACACAACAATCACTGGTCATATAGATCTTTCTAACGTCATAATATCTAGCATAATTGTCGATCATTATTGTAGACTAAAACTAAAGACATCTTCAAAAAAACGGAGCAATGTAAAACATAAAACGAAAATATGGAGCAGGCTACTGCTACGTCCGCAGTAGGCTCAGCAGTTCCCTGCGCAGCAGGCTGCTGCTCCATGAATCTTGAACGTCCGCAGCAGGCTGCTGCTGGGACGTTACAACTATTAAATGTCCAACGTTCTTGTGACCTATTGCAATTAAACAGACGGTTTTCTGGACGAGAATCAATGCCAACGTGTTGGACATTGATTGTCAACGTTCATGTCCATTAAACCTTCATTAACACAACTCCTAATCCTTCCTATAAATAGCTAGCAGGTGATTTACAACAAAAACACCACTCACAAACATACTCACGTTTTTTAGCTCTGAAAAAAACCTCCAGTTTCCGAAATTCCTTCAGTGTTCTGCCTTTGTTCACGTTCGCCGGAACAATCGTTTAAGTGCTTAAACGGTTGCTCGTTAGTCATCGTATCCTGGGAAACGATTCTTGCAACGCTCCTAGCACCCCGGGAGGCAATGAATACGTTTTAAGGAAATCGTGCGAAGCACGAGCTTTGACTAAATTTTGTTTCATCTCTTTTCTTGTTTTTCTTTGTCATTTTAAATTAATTTTAATTAATTAATTTTTCTTTATTTTCCGAAACACACCCAACAATAACAATATTGCATATTGAAGTTCAAAGTGCTGCATATTATTGAGTGTATAGGTTAGTATTTTAGGCATGGTATGTATTTCAGTATTTGATCTCTTATCTATGTGTGTGTGTGTGTAAATATGCTCTTATAAAAGTAATATAGTACTCCCTTTGTCCCCCTAATACTGGGACGGAAGAGAGTGGTGTGATTGGTAAGAAAAGTAGAATTATGTGTGACTGATAATGAGTTGATAAAGAGATAATAAAGTAAGAATGAATTAGAATCACACAAATGTTACCAAATATGGTATGTGACAATAATAGGGAGGACATCCAAAAATGAAAAAATGGGACAATTATAGGGGGACGTGAGTACTACTTAATTAGTATTCCACTCATATATATTGATTAATAAATGGACAAAGTTTAATACGATTCATCAAAAAAATCAAATATAACAAACTTTTATGGGATATGGAGAATAATGATTTTTTTCATGTATAGTCTATTTCACTACAATTTGGTCTCGTTTCAAATAGCTTGGTGCATAATATGATCTAATAAGATGTGAGTAATACAAGCCCAACAAAAATAATGTATAATGTGGATCTCAAATGAAATTATGTGGAGCTGAATTTGCTATCATATTTCTAAACACACATAAACACCAACAAAATTAAGAATTAAATTGAAGATTGCGTTTGTATTGAGATTTCATGCTTCGTCTTGCACAAAGATTTCGTTTGTCTATATTTTGTGCCATGAAAATGACTACTATTTTCTACCAACTAGAAAGGGTATTATGAAAATTAATCTCTCTCTCTCAGAATGAATCATAATTATAGATTTATAAATTTATATTATAAGAACTTATCATTACAATAACTTACCTGGAGAGCATCTAATGTTCATTTGGGAGAGATTGGAAGAAGATGACGACATTGCTCCAATAAAATGAATGTGTAATCCCTTGTAAGACAAATGCTATATGAAGTATATAATTTAGGGGGTTGTGATCTTACTCTCTCCTTGCCTTATGGTGTTCATTGGTATGTTAGTTAGCAAAGGGAGAAGGAGTATAATAATGGGGAAAACCCAAATGTCAAAATCTTTTATATTTTGTCATAAAGGGTGTAATTTCCAGCAATGGTACATATATATAATACATAATCATGTATATTATATAAACTAGTTGCTTATCGCGCCATGCGCGTTTGAACAAAATGCCCAAGTGTATATATTGTTTGATTTCCAACGGTGAATCGTATGTAAAGTACAATCTTCACATTGAGTGTAGTTATTTATTTTTTATTGTGTACTGTGTAAACACTGCAATACAATTTATAGACATATATATTAAATTAAGTCATTAAACTATGTGGATGTTATAAAGATAAGAAAAGATGATCGAGTTAAGTAACAAAGATCGTAAAAAAATTGTAAGAAAACAATAGATGTATATAATGTGTAATAAAAGATAAATACTTACTGAGTTTTAGATAACAAATAGTTCATGGAGTGAAGTATTGTTCATAGTAATAGTAAATGCAAATATATAAATTAATAGTTCTTTTTTTAAAGGAAATTAATAGTTCTTTTGCTCATTGTAACAAAATCGTATGCATGTGTGCACAATTTTTACATCCTGAGTTGAATTTTTTTAATAAAGCATTTGCATTGCTTTATAGACTCGAACCCCCGAGTCTCACGACTATTGGTTCCGAACAGCGGCTCACATATGCTCAGTAGATCATTTATCTCTTTGTACACTATATTTAGTCATGTATATCCTTTATAATAGATTAGATATCATATGTTAGTCATTTATTGGCCTTTTATTGTAATTGAGCCTTCCATGCCCAAGCTTGGAAGCTCAGCCCACTTTTCTCCTATAAATACTTTCTATGGAGCCATGTAAAGGGTTGGAAATTCATTTATACATATCATTTTATCTCTCTAGCTCTCCTTTCTCTCTAGATAAATAATCTATCAGAACCAAAGGTGACATCAAAGTATAGAATAAATTAAAAGTACAAAAAACCCAATGGATACACATAGACTAAACCAATGAACACAAGCTAGTATCAGTAGTATGTCATGTATAATTCGTGGAGTATGGGGCGGCATACCTAGAGATGGACAAATCTACTTAACTGCCAATAATGGCTTAAAATAAAATCTGAAATCTGAAAAAGTTTAATAACATTACTTAGCAGTTTAAAAAGGAAATCTTCTGAAATTAAATTACATCAATCCACGTAGTTACATTGTATTTTAAAACATTTTTTACATGTATACAATGCTCCTCCCTGTTGGAAACAGTTACTTATACTCCTCCCATTATTACATGGGAAAATTAATAAAAATACCCCAAACTTTGAAGGGGTGTGAGTTAAACACCCCAACTTGCATATGTAATTTAAATACCCTAAATTTTAAATAAAAAGTTATTTTTACATCATTTTCATGTATTGTTTATTTCAAAAATGTAAATTTCCGGGGTTAATTCCATAATTTAAATAGAAAATTAAAAGTGTTGCAATTATATAGATTGTCGGTAACATTATTTATTTCCTAATGAAAGTTTAGAATGTTAATTGTGTCTTCATGAATTCAAAAATATTTTAAATTATGCAATCAACACCATAAATTTAAATTTTTGAAAGAAATAATACTTGACTATGGTGCTAAAATAACATTCTATATAAAGTTTGGTATATTTAAATCTAAAAAATGTTTTGATTTTTAGTGTACAACATTTCATGTTTTTTTTTGCTTAAATACGTTTTTAGTCCCTGCAAATATGACACATTTTGGTTTAAGTCCCTTCAAAATATTTTTCTTGTTTTTCACCCCTACAATATTCACTATTTTGCTTTTAGTCCATCTCCAATTCTGAAACTACTCTACTTACAACAAAAGTTATTGTTAGTTATATAAATCTAGTAAAACTATGTAGATTTGTCCTTTTATAATTTTTTTGAGGCTAATATGAGAGTTAAAATAATTTAAAACTAAGTATTCATATTTTGAAAATATATATTAAAAACTTTCTAAAAAATAAAATAAAATACTTTTTAAATAACATGACATAGAATTAGAGGGAATGTATTAATCGTGGTTATTTTGAGGTCAAACGGAGATTGTTATCACCAATGATGGACTAAAAAGAAAACCTACGTAATTGCAGGG